CCCCAAAACCCCAAAACCCCAAAACCCCAAATATGACTAGAGCCTGATTCAAGAATTAAATGTTTATCCCAGCATTATCTTAATGTCTTCAGCATACTTTGCGGACTTCTCATAAATATCTTTTCCCTTAAAGGCTTCTACTGATGGCAACTTTTCTCCTAATCCAAGGTCACCAGCAAGGCTTTGAACTTCTTCATCTTCGAATAAGAGATTTCCAACAGTTGCTAGAATTCTCATGTAGTTGTTAGCATCTTTCTCTTGGTCTAAAGCCTCTATAAGGCAAGCAATTGATTGAACTCTCCCCTGATTATCATCTTTTCTTGTGAGAAAAGCAATAGAATAGTTCAGCAATACTGTGATAGCAGCATTTCTCACATTTTTATTCTCATGAGAGATATAATCAGCAACATTATCAATAATTTTCTCAAATTTACTTATCATGATAAATATGGACGAAGGATGCTTGAACATATTCACCAGGCAACGAAGAGACATGAGGTGATTTGCCATAGACTCCTCCTTTAATTCTAAAATACTAAGGAATTTGGTCAAATGCTCACATCCATGTTCATACACCTTAAACATTTCACTAGCTTGAGAGTGACACAAGAACATTCTAAACAAGTCAAGGACAGGAAGAATGTGCTTGTATGGCCAAGAGAGTAGCTTCTTAAACACATCCCATTCTCCTTTGAATAGCTCAGAAGAATGATAGTGGGCTTTGTCAGAAATAACTTCTATTAATCTGTCTAAGTTTTTGATATTCTTTTCCTCAACAGTATTAAGTTCTGTGTTAACTTCTCTAATCTTTTCGGCAGGTTTATCAGTTTTAACTGCATCATAGAAGAGATAAGTCTGCATTGGTAATGACTTTGGCTTTGGTTTAGATGATCCAGATGGTTCTGAAGAAACTCCGGTAGTATCCCTTGTCGCATATGGAACAGAATTTGTTTTGATAAATTGAGTAATTTGTTCTAGATTTTGTTTTCCAAATCCTTCTCTCACTCAGAATTTGTTAGCTGCTTCATCAGAGTTTCCTCCATTATTAAAAGGTAACTTTCTCATAACTCCATCTCCAATTTCAACATCGAAAACATGATCATACTCTCCTGCTTCAAAAAGCCTATCTCCTTCATAATGTTTAGTTGTAGGAGGGGGAGGCCCAGTAGGCAACTGAACTTCACCTATAAGATCCCATTTCCTCTCTGATGATTTCCATACGTAAGCTTTAGGAATTCCATTATCCTTAAAAACTTTGATTTCCCCTTCTTTCTTTCCAGCATGCTGATCCATTTGATCTGTTGTTGGGAGAGTTTCTACATTCAGTTCACCAGCTTTATTTGATGTCTCAACATTAGCTCTAAACTCAGAAAGTTCTTTTCCCTTAGCTGCTCTTGTTGGATCTCTTGTGAAAGTGTATATTTTATAGTCTTGACAGGCAATTATTATATCTCCCAAGGAATTAACTTGAAGGTCCCAAATTGTATCTGGGCATTCAATAGTTTGGACACACTGCATGTCCTTCCAAATTTTAATGGTCTTGTCATCAGATCCAGACACAATAATATTATTAGGAAGCGTAATGACACTAAATACGTAGCTTGTATGTCCAGAGAGCTCCCCTATAAGATCACCTTCGTAAGTCCAGATCTTAATTGAACCATCATTCGAGCATGAAACAAAACCAACAGGGCTATAGTCTGCAAATTTTCTAACTATATCCTTATGTGCATCCCATTCTTTTTCAAGCTGATAAGAATTGTTCCAAATCTTGATTTTGTTATCTTGAGATCCAGTAATTATTCTTCCATCTGGAGAGACAAAGAGAGATACTGCATGTAAATGTCCTTCAAGAGTTGCCAATCAATTAGTTGTTTCAATGTCCCAAACTTTAGCTGTTCCGTCCCAAGATCCAGACACGATCCTTTTGTTATCAATTGGGAGAACTGAGTTCACAAGATTTTCATGACCCTCGAACATTTTCTCTGGATTTCCATTGTTATCGATCAAGAATATCCTCTTGTCTTTTCCTGCAGTTAAGAATCCCTCTCCATAATTAGAAGCAACATCATAAACATAATGATCGTGGTGGTTAAGTTCTTGTATAAACTCGTATTTTCCAGTTTCTTCCATCAGCATGTAGAGTTTGCAAGAGTTATCGAAAGATCCTGACAAAAGAAGTTCTCTCTTATCTCCGGAAGAATCTATATTTGATATACTTTTAGTAGCCACTGACTTTACTGCAGCAGAATGTAACTCTAGTTGCTGCAGAAATTCAAAATCATGATTACTATAATCCTTTTCTTCCTCCATTGGAGTGTCGTCATCGAATGCAGAAATATCTGGGTCCATCTTTGAAATGGGAATATTAAATTTAGTCGACTTTTTTCAGATAAGGGGTTTTGGGGTTTTGGGGTTTTGGGGTTTTGGGG